TTTATGTACATTGTTTATATTATTTTAGCCTTTTGATCCGGAAACGGACACACTTTTCTTCTTCTCGAAGCATGGCACTGGCGATCACTGTAGATTCCTGATCGGTGTCGAAACTCTTCCAACACTTGGGGCAATTACACCCATTTCCAACATTTCATCGTACGCTTCTCTGTCTTTGCGCATTTCATTATAATTTCATTTTGTTATATTCTGTTTGGCTCTCGAGGAAACGACGTAAAATCGAAAAAGAAAGGGAAAAAAAAAGTCTTTCTATAACCTGGGAACTGGTTAAAATACACCCAATTTTGTTAATAGAGAGGTTAACCTCATACAAGTACATTGAAACCCTGGAACTCAAAGTTTTAGTAATTTTGGAAGTGGGGTTGTTTGGTTTTCTGAAACTTTTGTTTGTTGCGGAGGAAACACAGAGAATCCAGACAAAAGACTATTCTTTTGGGGCCTTATGTCTTTTGATCTTTATCTTTTCTTCTGTTACTTCAGGATTAGACTACTTTCGGCTTCTTAGCTTCTGTTTTTCATTATGGGTTTGATCTATTTTTTGTATTTCAACTCAGGTTTGCAATTGGAAATGGTTCTCGTAGCTTAAAAACTTGGCGGTGCGGTGTTATTTGTTTCAGAGTTGACTCATTTTTAGTGCTTTGGATGTGAAGATGGACTTGCGGGAAGTGAGACATAAAGTAGAACAAAGCGATATATGTAGATGCAGTGAACTGAAATTGAGGTGTGAAAGAGCTGAAGAAAAATGTGAAGAGTTAGAAATGGAGGTTCAGGTAAGGAAGATTGAGTGCGAATTACTTCAGGATCAAATGAAGAAATTGAAGTCAGAAAAGTTAGCAATTGAAGAAGAGCTGAAAGTTTGGATGGGTAAGGGTTATGAACCTGGACAGCGGGTCGGTTGGGATAAAAATGGAAAGAAGATTCATTTTGAGGATGAAAAGAAAGAAGGATTTGTGAATTTAATTGATAAGAATGAAGTGGAAGATGAGGTTGTTCAACTAGTAATTGAGAATAATGTTTTGGCATGTGAGAAGAAGGCTGCTGAAAGTGAGGCTGAGCTGTGGAAAGATAAGTTCAAAAAATTGGAGATTCAGATCCGGAAGTTGGATGGAAGTTTCATTCTGAAAGGTGATGAGCCAGTGGCAGTGCTTTCTGGGGGCTTTGAAGGGGGAACCAGATCGCCATTGAGTCCCGAAGCTCGTGTTCCGGTTGGTGTGGCGTCTACTCCTTATTCCCTTAGTAAAGGAATTGGAGACTTGCAAGCAGGTACTATTTTCTAAGACAACCGCCTGATAATATAATATATGTGAGATATGATAGTAGTATATTTAATATCAGACCTTAACCTATCACATGAACAGTTATTTTAAATGTGTTTCACACAATAAAATTTCATGTTACTTGTTACCTGATCGGTTTAGGTTAATTGCTGTCTGACTTTTTTCTCCTTTTGTTCGTGTGGATATGCTCTAATGACAGGAACACCCCCAAACGGCTCACCATACAATCATACTGTTTCTCTTGGGAAAGGAATGAAATTCCATCGTATAGAATCTTATTTCAAGCATGGAAATCGATTTAGAAGACAGTTGGATTTCGAAGAAGAGAACCCCAGTCAGAAGATGGCACCATTAACTCCTGCTGTTTCTAGACCTGTACATGGCATCATTAACATAGATGATAGTGATGATGAACCAATTATTGCCAAATTGCCCTCTCCTTATTCTCAGAAAAAGAGTGAGGTCTGTGCTTCAGCAGCTCAAGCTTTAAGTGGGTGTAGATCCTTTGGTTCCGAGGAGAAAATTGGCAATGGCAACAGAAAAAATGCAGAAAATATGGAAGCGTTTAGCGATGATTTTACATTTAGTTCAACTCCCAAAAGGAAACGGGCTTCTAATATTATAACTAGCGACACTGAAACTGATGATGACGATAATGTTCCAATCTGCAAATTGAAGGGAATGCCTCTTCAGAAAACCAACCGTACACAAGGAAATTCAGAATTGAATAATGGCCCTGATACTGCTTCTACTCCTGCATGTGACAAAGTTGCGATTAGTGCAACTCCTGCAAGGAGGCGTTTGGTGCCACTAAGAAATTGCTACGAGAAAGGCAGTGGAAAGAAGAACTCTTCAAGTCAGATCATTGAGAGTAAGAATAGGATGGAGGATGTTGGAGATGGATTGGAAGATGTTGGGTCGGAGCTAGAGACCGAGGGTGAAAGCTTGGATGGATTTATTGTTGATAGGTCCGATGTTTCGGACGTTGGAAGTGCTTCCCAGTCAGAAGACTTATCAAATGGCAGTGAAGAATATGATGAGATAATATGTAAGCTAGGGAGGAGAAGAAAAGAGTTGAAATGGGAGTATGAGGCTGATATGCTTGCAGCTTTTGGTAAGGATCCTGAATTGTGTATGAAGTCTGTATGCGCTCTTTATCGACAGCAAACCCCCGAGGAAAAAGTTAGTAAAGAGACGCTCTTTTTTAACAAGAGAGGATTCAGCAAGTTTGATGCGATCAAGTATGACTTCCAACCAAATGCATATGATTGCTTTTTCTCTTGGCAACTTTTTTCTTTTTGTCATTTTGATTTTGGGCCATTGGTACTGTCTTCTTGCTCTTCAACAAAAATTTTTCCCGAAACACCCCTAGGATCTATATCTAAGAAGTTGGACACTGCAAAAAAGGGTGGTGTTGCATTCATTATTGGGAAGTTTGAACCTATGAGAAGTGAGTTGATACCAAAATAGATTTCTTGATGGACTCTGCTGACTCACTTAAATGTCTATTACAGGGGCACCAGGTTGGCTGAGTTTCTCACCGATGGCGATCCGCAAGGTGATCTCAACAAATCTGTTAAAGAATTGGAGGAGTATGACCCAAAGGCCATCGACCTCTGCAGAAAGCTAGCAACACATTACTCTAAGCAGTTGTTTGAGATTTATGGCAAAAAAGAAGACCCTTTCTTTTTACCTGCATGATATGAACTCATGGATTCCACTGCCAAAATGCACACTCAATGTAAGACTCGACACTCTCTGCTTGAAGAAACTCCAAAAAAAGGGTACCCCCCCAACAAAGAAAAACTTATTGACATGATTACTCTCTAAAAGAAAAGCTATAATGATGTAGGATAGTTGGTTGACATGTAACCTCTGGATCTCATTGTAAATTTTGTGTGTATATGATAATTATATATTTCTAGCTAGGATCTATGTTGGATATTCTGCACCGGTTATGGTAATTTGGTTACAGAAAAATGAGGACCTGTTTTGGAACTGCTTTTACAATAGTTTCCTATTTTCTATAACAAAAATGCGCCGAGGGCCGAGAATGACATGTTTTTCAAAACAAATTAGTTTATTTACAAAATCTCATAAATATTTATAAGCACAATTCTGAATAATAATTTTGAAACGTAAATGGAAAACTGTTTCTGAAATAGTTTTCAAACAAGCCCTCAATTTTCCTGTCTCAAGACAGACATTTTGGTTTATTTCTCAAAGCTAAGATTGAAGTTCACTGTGAAACAATCACCATGAAATGATCAATTTGGCCATGAATGATAAATTGAGTAGTCTTTACATACCTTGGTTCAAACTATAGTTATCAATTGCAAGTTGATTCAACTACACTCATAATAAATAAATAAATAAATATATATATATATATATATATAAACTTAGAAAAGAAAATCTTAGTCGAACAACAATGATTGTGGTTGGTAGTTATTATGAAGCTTGCCCATGTGATGACAGGATGGTTCAACAAACAGTTTTGGGTTAAATATGATATATTGGTTTCTTTCTATAAAAAGGTAGGAATTTTTGTATAAAGCTCTGTGTACCAATCAATCACAACATAAAGCTCCGATGAACTGGCATTAAGAATTTATTCTACATGGCGAAAGGAACAACAGACTGTAGTGTAGGACCCCAAGGTGAAAGTCCTCGTTAAGCTCGAGTTAGGAATTTTAGTTCTATGCAAATTAATAGTTTAATCTATATTTAGGATTCGTAAAAGTTCATATGCTGTACAAAATGTGGGTTTAGCCAGAGTTTGTATAACTTAGCCCTAATGTAAACTTATGGTTGGATAACAAACTCAAATAGCAAATTAGCAAAGTTGTTAACTTTGAGTTTGAAGAGTAGAATTCCAAATTATAGCAGATAAGTAAAAGGGTAATCCTGTAGCATCCTGATTTAGTGTAATACAATCATACACAACCCTAAGATTGCTGTAAAGGGGATTGGTCAGCCAAAAATAGGAGAACGGAGGAGAAGAACCTTGCCAGCAAATGATTTGGCTTCCCAGGTAAGCAGAGAGAGACTAAGAAATAAGCCAAGAATCTGCTTACAGTCTGTCTTTTGATAAAGTGAATTACATCACAGGTCCAGCAGAGCAAAAGCATAGAAAAGAAGGAATCTAGAGAGAGAGAAAGAATGAAGAATCACATGGGTTTGCGTGGATTCCCAAAACTTGCGGTTGAAACCCAAACACTATTAAACCCATCTCCTCCATCCCCACCCTCAGTAACTGCCTTCAATCTTCTTCTTCTCTCTCTAGGTTCCTTTGAGAGAGAGGAGGAATTGGATTGGATAAACGCAGAGAGAGACAGAAAAACACAGAGAGATGGCTGTTTCCAGGGCTTGTTTTGGCATCTACGCTGGGATTATTGCTATCCTTTTTGTCATTATTTTGCCTGTATCTCGAGCAGAACATTCCTCTTCTCCAGCTCCGGCTCCCTCTAGCGATGGTTAGTTGTTAGTTCCCTTTTCTTCTCTGGTTTTTTCTCTTTGTTTCTTGAGAAATTTGCTGGGAAAGAAAAAGACAGGAAGTCCAAAAATGGGCAGCATCAATCCAATTGAATCTCCTTAAATTGGAAATGGGTTTTTGGAAAGTTGGCTCCTTGTTTGAATGAAAGCAAAAACTAGAAACCTTGCTATTAATGGTGCAGCATTCCAGAATAACATTTGCCATTTATTATGTTGCAGGAACCACAATAGACCAAGGGATTGCATACATTCTAATGCTGCTGGCTTTAGTGCTCACTTATATCATCCATTGATGAAGCTTTGAAAGTACCAAAAGAGAGAAGATGAATCAACAGCATTAAATTCCAATCGTGTGTTGCATTTTCAAGTGTGTGAGATGAAAGGAGGAAGGTGTGGTGTCTCAAATGGGTCTTTCCATTGCCATTTTTTTTAGATTGGCAGTAGAAAGTCTGTTGTATTATATATTTATCATTTTTTTTTCCTTGAATGATCATTATTTTCATTTGTGTATTCTTTGTCTCCAAAATGTCCCCCAACCCCAGAAAAATTGTTTTATGAATCTTATATATACGCATACTTGAAAATGTGATAGAAACGCTTAAATATTTAGAAGTGAAAAAAGCAATTCAAAGGTGAAATTTTGGATTTCTTTAATGAATAATATTAAAATATGAGAAATGAAAATTAACATTTTTCTCACACTAAAAGGAAATTTAAAAGGAGAAACTAGAGAGTTACCACGCCTATTTTGATTTCTTGCTCTAAATCAGTAAATCTGATATGAAAAAAGATTCGAGAAACATGAAATAAATAAGCATACATCAACATGTCAAAACAAGCATAACTCAACATATGTTAAAATAAGCAGAGGTTGTGAGTTCGATATCCACCGATACTGTTGTAAAAAAATATATACATTTCTAATATGAAAAAAGATTCAAGAAACATGAAATAAAGAAGCATACATCAACATGTCAAAGCAAGTATAACTCAAAACAAGTAGAGGTTGTGAGTTCGATCACTCCACTAATACTGTTGTACCAAAAAAAGAAGCATACATTACCATGCTAACAAATAGTGAAAAGATGTTCAAATATATGTGACACGTATGAATTGTTCAGATATATGTGACACGTATGAATTGTTCGAAAAAAAAAAAGGTATTCTAGAATTGTGGATGTATGTGATTGTAAGTCAAAAGAAAAGTTTTAAAATAATTGATAGAAGCTCTATACTTGAGAAAAAAAAGTAGATGAACCTTCCTCTTTCTCTGGGAGAACTTTTACTTTAGAAATCTCCCCATTGAACATGTCTAAATTTTACCAAGTCAATTTTGAATTATGTGACATTTGACTTAAAAATAAAATCCAGTATTTCGATGGCCTTTCATGGAAGTTTCTTCGTCTTCTTGATTCTTCTCCTCCAAAACCCACCTCAACTACGCTGTCTTATTCCCCACTTCTCACCCCATTTCCATAAATTAGTCTCCTTTTCGGTTCATAATTTCGAAATTCTTCCTCTAATCTGAAGGGTACTGGGATTCTTTCTTTCTTTTTTCTTTCTTAATCTTGGTTCGTCTTCTTGTTGAATGTTGATTGCAATTTTGGTGTTGTGACGGATGGGTGCCCTTCATTTCTTGCGAAATTCGAAGAACTTGTTCGTCAGTAGGTCAATTTGTCTTCTTCTTGCGGATCGAGGGGGGTTGTGGGTCTGCTTCAAAAGAGAGAAGAAATAGAAATCTGAATGGAGTTTCTTGGTTCTGAATGGATCTATAATTTTGGGTATTGGTCGGTGTTTTATAATTTTGATTGGATTTTGGAGAAATGGAGGTGTCGTCTTCTGCTAAAACAACAACCCAAGTGGCGAGGAAGAGATTATAATTTTGGGTACAATCTCGAAATTGCTGGATGTTGAAGGTCTCCATAACCTGTTCGACGAATTGATTCAGAGAGCTATTTATAATCTTTTAGCTTTTTCTCGTAAACAAATGTCACTTCATCCTTCAAACTCCTGATTCGTAATTTATCTAAGAACCTTCTAAAAATATTTTCTAAATGTTGGAGACTAAATGTCTTTATTGATACGAGACATGGATAACTAGGTTACCTCTCTGAGAATGTGAACAAAAGTTCAATGTCAGGTAGAAGAGAGGGAGATCTATATAGTATAGTATATATTTAAGTAATAAAGATAGATACGAGACTATTTGAGTGAAATGAAAAATTAACATAGTCATGTTGAACAATATCAAACCTCGAGATTTGGATTGTACTGATATTACCTCGTAGGTAGGAAAGAAGAAAAGAACCAGACAGAGAGACACAACATCGATCATGTGACATATAGTTCAGACACAGCAACCTGCCCCAACAGATTTAAACATTTCCATGCGAAAAACAAACTACCAAACAAAGGGAATAAACACAAGTCCATTTTTATCACTTTTGAGTTGTTCAATTCCCATCTCTTAAATTTAGGCTTAAAAAGAGACCCTCTTCTTACAGCTACATTATTATTATTAAAGGCAACAAAACAAAATAGGCATTGTTACAGGTGGAATCTAACAAACTCATGACGAAGAAAAGACCTGAAGAATTTGAAAAAGAAGAAAAGAAGAGAAAAAACCCAACACAATTTTCTGAGATTCATTCCTGATGATCTTCTTCTTCTTGTTCTGTTAAGTTGATGGTGTTGAGGTTTGTGTGTGGAGAGACGACATGTCGTCGTTGGAACTAAAATCAATGGAATCAACTCTTATTTCACCAACATTATTCTCAGATGGGTTAAATACTTCGGTTGAAATATGTTTACATTTTCCACCTAACGTAAACTCTGGAGGTTTGTGGATACAACACGATGATGCTAGATGGTGGCTCAAAAGTACGTTGCCTCTTTTGGAGCTTCAGTTGGCGCTCTACTTCTTAATACTCGCAATTCTGCGTTTTCTTCTCAAGCCTTTCAGAATTCCCAAGTTATCCATTCAAATTTTGGTGAGTACTGTTATTTTCAAATTTTGGCCTAGATTTATTACTAATAAGGCAAACTTCTTGTCTTTTGTATATGTGAAAATTGAAACAGACTGGGCTGCTATTTGGGTATTCATGGAACGAGCAGTGGGACGAGGAAAAACACAAACTTTTTTCGATTCAAAGTGAAGAGATCCTGGGGATGTTAGCCTATTTCGGGTACATGCTTTTCTTGTTCATATCAGCAGTGAAAATGGACGTGAGAATGATCGCAACCACAAGAAGAAAAGCACTAATAATAGGAATTCCTACCCTATTCGTGCCTTTGATTTTAGGCATGATTGTTGGAAAGCAAGTGGTGCAGGACGATGGGTTGACAGACATTCAGAAAGGGGAGGTCCCTCTCATGGCTGCCACCTACAGCATGATCTCATTTCCAGTGGTGGCTTCCCTCTTAAGCGAGCTGAAGATTGTGAGCTCAGAACTTGGGCGTTTGGGCCTCTCCACAGCCTTAATTTGCGACTTACTCAGCCAGTTCCTCATCACAATGGGCAACCAAATAAGAGTCCATACAAACAAACAAACAATGGGCTATGTTTCTTCAGCTGTAGTGCTTCTCCAATATTATCTGTTGCTTTGTTTTGCGTTTAGGCCAGCAGTTCTCTGGATAATCAAGCATACGCCTGAAGGGAAGCCAGTGAGCCGAAGTAGGATTCAGGGTGCTGTTTTTTTTGTGATTCTTTCGACTGCTCTATCAACTTTAGTGCCTCAGCCAGCAGTTATTGGGCCCTACGTGTTGGGGCTGGCAATTCCAGCAGATGGGGGTGCTTTTTCTGTCTCGCTGGTGGAGAAGCTCGATAGCTTTGCTTCTGATTTCTTCTTGCCAATCTTTGTGTTTGCTTCTGGTTTGCATGTGGATCTGTCCTCGATATCCGTTGCAGTTGGGGCTTCTTTTACAAGATTGAACATACTTCTCGCCCTTTCCACATTTGCAGCCCAAGTAATGAGTTGCTTTGTATCTTCATTGTATTGCAAGTTGCCTTTGAAGCAGTCCTTGGCGCTATCCCTTATGTTGGCCTGCAAAGGAGCTACGGAATTGTTCTTCTTCACCCTACTTATGGAATTCAAAGTATATATCTTCTCTGCCCCTTTCTCTTTCTTTTTAAATTTTGGAGTTAAACTTGTTGATGCACGAATTTGGATCTGGTCTTTTACATTGATGGCTCCCGAGAACACCCGCGCACACAAGAAATCAGAGAGAGAGAGTTGACTGGGCCTGGATGGTTCGACTAATGTCGCTCGCCTAATTTCAGTTGATGTGAGCTTTGTAGGATAGTTTCACCCATAACATACTGGATGACTTGTGCATCTCTTTCTTGCAGCACATCACTGATGGGGTTCTGGCATGGTTAATTGTATTCCTATTAGTCATCACAACCTTTGTACCGATGGCAGTGAAATGGCTGTACGACCCATCAAGGAAATTCTCAAGCTGTGACAGCAGGAACAGAAATATCATGCACTTGTACACCAACTCTGAGCTTCGAATCCTCGCCTGCCTTCACCAAAAAGAAAACATCTTCGGCCTCCTCCATCTACTCAACCTCTCGTGTCCAACGTCGCAAAATCCGATCGCCGTTTACGTGATCCACCTCATCGAGCTCGTCGGCCGCACCACCCCCATCTTCATTTCCCATAGAATCAAAGACCACAAGGCCTTCAAAGATGAATCCTTCTCGGAGAACATCCTCCTCTCCTTTGACTCCTTCGAAAAACAAAACAATGGCACAGTTTACGTGGAGTGCTTCACAGCAATCTCACCCCACAAGTTCATGCACAATGACATATGCAAGTTGGCGCTTGACAAGATCACATCTCTCATAATTTTGCCTTTCCACCGCACGTGGACGGCGGGTGGCCTTGTGGACCAAGATGACAACGCAATAAGGGCTGTGAATTGTAGTGTTGTTGAGAAAGCGCCTTGTTCAGTGGGGATTTTTGCTGATAAAGGGCATTTAGGCACCAAAATGGCAGCCGATACTGCTACTTGTAAGCATGGTACTGATGTGACGTGTAGATATTCAGTTTGTGTGATTTTTTTAGGAGGGAGTGATGATAGGGAGGCAATTTCATTCGCCAAACGCTTGGCAAAGGACTCGAGGATTGAGCTGATGGTGCTCAAAATTATTGGTTCTCTTGTGGAAGATGGGTCCAGTAACAACAATTGGGACAAAATGCTTGATTCTGAGGCTCTAAGCGACTTCAAAACCAACAGTTTTGGGGATGGAAGAGTGAGGTATATGGAGGAAGTGTGTGAAGAGGGTCCTCAAACGGCATTGAAACTTAGAGAAATAGTGAAAATGTTTGATATTATGATAGTAGGGAGAAGGAATGGGTTGGAATCACCTCAAACTTCGGGCCTTACTGAATGGAATGAGTTTACAGAACTTGGGGTTCTTGGAGACTTGATTGTATCACTTGATATAAACAATAAAGCTTCTGTATTAGTAATACAACAAAAAAGATGATTAAATATACCTTCTCTTAGATTATCTAAAAACAGTTGGCCGATCACATCGGATTCTTCATAATTAGACAATAATTACCAAATTATACCCTCAACAGAATAATCTCTGGTCATACAATTCATTGTGTAAGAAGCTCTCCAGTAATCTCAATATATACAACAAAATAGTTTATGCTCACATGCGCACAGAACTAAATAGTCTCAAAGACCTCTCTTTTATCTAGGTATATTATAAAAACACATTTATATAACATACGATTATCACTTATCCCCTGTTTGGTATCCCAGATTTTGAGGGACGGATTTTTAATGAATTCCGTTGTTTGGCACTACATGATTTTGACGGAATCCAGTTTTTATGTAAAAAAAATACTGGATCAAAATGGTCGGATTTTGATGGATTTCATAGAATTTCAAAGTAAATTACATATTTAACCTTGTCATATTTTAATTTCTAAATAATAAATTTATATTAAAAGCCCAAATCAAGAAAAATTTTTATTTTACCGCAAACATCCAAGCAAAGAAAATTAATTTATTTCATTTCAAATCATTCTCCTTCCAAACAAGATAAGGAATTTCAAATCATTTATTGGATTTCAAATCACGGAATTTAAAATCATTTCTTAAACTTTCCACTCGCCAAACCCTGAGGGTTAGGTTAATAATATGGTGAAACCACGTACCCTCAACTTCATAAACTATTATGAAATTAATTCTGTACCCAATAATTTCCCTTATAGATGTTGGATTGGGGCTAGAAAATTTGTGGAGAAGCTGGAACTGAGCATGATTGAGACTGCGTGATTGTAGGGAGTGAAGGCTAGGAGTTTGGGTTGGAGCCATTGGTGTTAGAATTTCAGGTGGGATCACTTCTCATGGTCTGGCATTCAATGTGGATCATCATTTGAGGTATTAATTTAAGCATATTGTACTGGAGGAGCAGTTGATTTCTTGTTTTGTTAAGTTATTTGGTTATAGTAGAACTCATGTGGAGCTGAATCCTACTGTTGAATTAGATTTTGGGGCTAAGGTTGAGAGTTTGAAATGACTTGTAACAGAATGAATAAATGCACAAAACTAAGAAGCTGAAAATTCCCTTAATTCATTTATAAGATGTTCACTAAAAGTTAAGACAAACTGCAAAAATGTTGATCATAAACAAGAGTATTGTTCTTTTACTTTGTGCCTTGTCCACTGACAAGGAAATTAAACTATCTGTATGTATTCTTGCAAAAAGATAATTGAACTACATACACATCTTGATGTCTAGTGAATTAACTACTTCTGCTGTTGTATTACCAACACTGAAGTTCTTGTGTTGTTATCTAATGAAGCAATCAAATCTCCAAGAACTCCAAGCTCTGGAAACTCATTCCACTCACTAAGCCCAGCAGTCTGAGGAGATTCCAACCCATCTCTTCTCCCTACTATCATAAGATCAAACTCATTCACAATTTTTCTAAGTGTCAGTGCTGTTTGAGGCCCATCATCACACACTTCCTCAAAATACCTCACTCCCCCATTCCCCAAACAGTTCATTTTGAAATCCTTTAGAACCTCAGAATCAAGCATGTTCTCCCATTTGCTACTCGACCCATCTTCCATAGGAGACCCAAGTTTCAGCACAGTGAGCTCAATTGTGGGCTCCTTTGCCATGCGTTTGGCAAAAGAAATTGCCTCCCTGTCATCACTCCCTCCCAAATATATCAAGCAAACTGAATATCTAAATTGTGTGCCAGAAGAAGCCATAGAAGCAAYGCTCCCTAAATGCCCTTTGTCAGCAAAAATTGCCACTGAACAATCCGCCTTCTGGAGCACACTGCAGTTCAAATTCCTCAACATGTTGTCCTCTTGGTCTATAAGGCCATCCGCCGTCCATGTCCTGTGRAAGGGCAGAATTATAAGAGACGTGACCTTGTCAAGCGCCAATTTGCAGATGTCATTGGTCATGAACTTGTGGGGTGTGATTACTGTGAAGCATTCAGCATAGACAGAGCCTGCAGAGTTGTCCTTCTCAAAGTGGTCAAAGGAGAGAGTGACATTTTCTGAGTAGGTTTGGTCGGAAATGGCATTGTTTTCCTGTCTATGGGAAATGAAGATGGGGGTGGTGCGGCCGACAAGCTCAATGAGGTGAAGGGCGTAAACAGCAAGCGGATTTTGCGGCGTTGGACATGAGAGATTGAGGAGATGGATGAGGCCATAGATGTGTTCGTTTTTGTGAATGCAGGGAAGGACTCGCAATTCTGAGTTGGGGCTTAAATGCATGATGTTTCTGTTCTGATAGCCATCATGTGTCCTTTTGGGGTCCGTGAGCCACTTCACTGTCAGTGGCACAAAGGTTGCAACTATTAATAAGAACACTATGAACCATGCCAGAATCCCTCGGTTAATAACCTGCAAGTGGGATCAAAGAAAAAAATGAGAAGTGATTTTAACCTGACAAGGAAAAAAGGGTTAAATCATATATTCGGTTGTTTGAACTTTTCAGAGTTGTATCTGCTAGTTTGTGCACTTTAAAAACTCTTAATAGATGACTAAATTTTCATAGTTGCATCTCTATTTACTCTTTGTACTTTAAAAAGTTCTTAATAAGTCTACGCGGTTAATTATGATCAATTTTAACAATTGTGCGACATGTTAACTATATTATTCAAGAATTCATCTCGAAACCTGCTTACCTCATATTGAGTGATGATTGAGCAGAAGGCCAATTCAAAAACACCTTTGCAGCTGAGAATGAGGGACAGCACGAAGGAATCTCTCAAGGGCAACTTGCAACACAAAGAACAAAGGAAGCAACACACCAGTTTGACTCCATAAGTGACAAGTGAAAGAACAATGTTAACTCTTGCATCAGCAGCTCCAAGGACAATGAATATCTTGGAAATATCCACCTGTAGAGAACATGTTATGACAAACAATGGCAGAAAGAAATCCGAAACAAAGCACTCCAGCTTCTCCACCAGTGAGAATCCCAATTGTGTAGCTCCATCAGGGATGGCCAGCCCCAAAAGATAAGGCCCAAAAATTGCTGGCTGCCCCAAAAGAGCAGAAGCAACAGCAGAAATCAGAACAAACAGAAAAATGCCGTGAGTAGTGCCACGGCTCACTGGCTTCCCCTCAGGCGTCTGTTTCAAAAGCCAAAGCACTGATGGCCTCAACACAAAAAGTATGAGGCAAATTTGAACCATAATTCCTGCCTTGCTAAAATAGCCGAGTGTAATGCTGGTTCTGGAGATTCTGATTTGGTTTGCAGTCCCCATAACAAATTGGCTGAATAGGTCAGCAATCAATGCTGAGGACATCCCCAAACGGCCAAGTTCTGTGCTCACCAACTTCAGCTCGCTCAGCAGAGAAGCAATCACTGGGAACGAGATAAAACTATGGATGCTAACCATTAGAGGGACTGTATTTTTCTCTGCGGAACTTAAGCCATCTTGGAAATAAGATCCAACGAAAAGACCACAAATTACAGGCACGAACACTGAAGGGATTCCGATTATCCAGGCCTTTCTTCCTGTTTTCATGGTCCTTCTCACGTCCATTTTCACTGCTGTTATGAACAAAAATAGCATGTAGCCGAAGCACGCTAACAGCCCTATGATCTCTTCACTGTTAATCCTAAAAAATTCCAATTTTTTGTTGTTCAATTGGCCCCATGAACAACCAAATACCAGACCAGTCTGCCAAAATATCAAAAGTTAGTATTTTTTCATCGTATTCACTCACATCAATAGTTATATCACAGGAAAATTAAAACTTGCCTCTTTTTGTCTACAAAGTGTATGTGATTACAAAGTTTATGATGATGATTGAGTTGACAAAAATTACAAGAAATAACCCATTTCTAAACAACCTCAAAAAATTAGTTTCTTTCACAAAATTGATGATTACATATATAAATTGGACCTTAAACATGTTTTTCAATAGATAAATTATACATGAACTTATTTATATTTGTATTCATGTTTCTTTTTCCATTATGATTATAAGGTGAGAATTCAAACTTTCGTAAGAAAGATTTACTAATATGTTCTAACCGTTGAGCTGAACTCATGTTCGTGTGCATTCATGCATTACTTGACAATGTAACTCAATCTGATTCAATTTTTTCACCATAGTGAGAAGAAACACAATTGATATAAACCCAGAAAGGAATGTGGCTATCTCTAAAACATGCATGAGGGGCAGGCAAAGGAATTAAGGAAGAACCAAACAATACAGAAACAGAACTAACATGGATTGGAATTTGGTGTGTACGTACAATAATTTGAGAGGAAATCTTGGAGACCCCAAAAGGCTTGAGGAGAAGATGAATAATTGACATGAGGAGAAAGAACAAGAAGAGCTGCAGCTCCAAGAGAGGCAATGAATTATTGAGCCACCATTGAGGGCGAGAGAACTTTCCCCAAATACCGTCAGAGCTAACCCGCCAAGGTTGAACAAAAAGACAAATCTTGCTACTACTCCTAACATCATGTACGGTTGAGTTTGTCATTGTCAAGTCTAAATGGAACTGTGTGTCCTTTTCTAGAGACAAAGACATGACAGGACAAGACAAGACAAACACAGGTACTAAAAAGTGTGAGGTGTGTGTTTCTTTATATTCATGTCTCATTGTTAGGAGTTGGTTGAATAAGTGGTTTCCTTTAAACAAAACAATGCTCTAAAGAGAGTAAAACAAAACCCATGTAACCAGAGGTAGTTTAATATGTTTTCTTTTTAGTTGCTGATTATATGCCTAAATTGGACACATTAATTGAATTAACAATCTGAAGATGGTTGGGTTTATTTTCTTTGTTTGGGAGTTCGTTATTCATCCAAATCTACAAACTCTGGTGTGTCACTCACACAAATTCTCAATAATGGAAGGATGAGAGTCAAACCTCCTTTTTCCTTTCATTATTATTAATTTGTTTTTAGAAAACATATAATACAATTCATTCAAAAAATAGGTGAAAAACATAGACGATATAGTAAAAGTTAAAGTGGAAGCATTCTAATTTAGGTAGAAAATAGAAATGTCATAATTACAAAAAGATATCGATTTAAACGACTAAAAGGAGACTACTATTTATTATCGTCTTATAAATGAGAGCGGCAATGAAAAGACCATTTTTTTCTTTCCAGCCATAAGAATCAAATGACAGAACCAAAACCATTACATTATATGCACCAATTGGGATTTACATGGAGGGATGGTACCTGGCTTCATATTTGTTAAATTTTAAGTTTAGATTGTGTCTAAGAAATTTTAAAAAATGTTTAATAAATTTTAAACTTTCAATTTTGTGTTTAATAAATTCTCTAATGTCGTGCCAAACTTTCAATTTTGCCTAATATTAGTTCCTAAACAGTCTGATGGCTCCCTAACATTTTTTAAAACAATGAGGGATTACTAATTACTATGATCGTTAATCATTTTTTCCTTTTTTTGGTAATGAGTTATCGTTATCACCAAACATGAGCCTTGCTCGATGGTAATTTAACATATTTTATCTGATTAAGAGATCATGAGTTCGAATTTGAAAGAGTAAAGACTATTCTCAATGCTTTCCGAAAAAAAAAGACTATTCTCAATACGAGTTCTCTTGTTTCATCCTCATTCACACGCTTCGACCTTAAGAGAAATAATAGATGTCAATTACCGTTGTGCTGCTCTCATGTAATTGTTCATTGTTGTGTGATATATGTCAATTAATAATTAATTTTTTTAAACGAAATTCATAATCACTCTTAATCAATAAATATTATAATGGTCAATAAGTGATAACTCTCAATCTCATTATTGGTTACCATCAATCAATTATTACTATAATTGTGCCAAATTAATTAATCACAGCTCGCTGGTTTAAAACTCTAAACCTCTAGACGTTCGAATTTGAACTAAGAAAAAATGCTAGAATTGTCAGCCATGGACTAATTCCACGATTTTTGTTAACAATGAATATATTAATTAACAGAATCCTGTAGATTTGGATGAATAACGAACTCCCAAACAAGGAGAAATAAATGCAACCATCTTCACTTCATATTTTGATTCTTAATCATCCAAAAGAGAGAAAAAAAAAAAAAAAGGAACCATTTAGCTACCTTTGGTTACATGTGTTTTGTTTGACTCTCTTTTCCGCGCTGTTTTGTTTAAAGGAAACCACTTATCCAACCAATTCCTAACGATGAGACATGAATGAATATAAAGAAACACAAACCCGACACTTTTTAGTACTTGTAATTTCCTGTTCTTCTCTTGCTTTCTTGTGGCTGCCTCTGTTTTTTTGTCTGGAAATGGAAAAAGAGATGACGTTCAATTCAGACTTGAGGATCACAAACTCAACCGTAGATATTATTCCCACTACCATTTGTCTGTTAATGCCACCTCGGGTTGGCTCTAATGGCATTTGGGGAAACTCCTCTACCTCTGAATGGTGGCTCAACAATTCATTGCCTCTCTTGGAGTTGCAGCTCTTCTTCTTCTTTCTCCTAATGTCTATTATTCATCTTCTCTTCAAGCCCTTTGGGGTCCCCAAGATTTCCTCTCAGATTATTGTAAGCACACCAAAATCTTCTTCTTTTTGGGTTGATATTAATTGTTTAGAAATGGGTTATTTCTAGTAATCGCATACACTTTGTAAACTAGAAGGCAAGTTTTGATTTTTCACTGTGTTTATATCTTTTCCTGTGATATTACTATTCGTGTGAGTGAATAAGATGAGCAGAACAGAGACTAACTTTTTATATTTTGGCAGGCTGGTTTGGTAGTTGGTTGTTCATGGGGTCCATTGGACGACACAAAATTCAGACTTTTTAGGATTAACAGTGAAGAGATCCTGGGGCTGTTATCCTACTTCGGCTACATGCTATTTTTGTTCATAACAGCAGCGAAGATGGACGTGAGAATGATCTTGAAGACAGGAAGAAAAGCCTGGATAATCGGAATCCCTTCAACGTTAATTCCTATAATTTGTGGTTTTTGGGTTGGATCTTATTTCCTGGATGGTTTAAGTCCCGCAGAGAAAAATAGAGTCCCTGTAATTGTTAGCATCCAGAGTTTTATCTCATTCCCAGTGATTGCTTCTCTTCTGAGCGAGCTGAAGATGGTGAGCACAGAACTTGGGCGTTTGGGGCTGTCCTCAGCGTTGATTGCTGACCTATTAGGCCAATTTGTTATGGCGACTGCAAACCAAATCAGAATCTCCAGAAGCAACATTACACTTGGCTATTTTAACAAGGCAGGAATTATGGTTCAATTTTGCCTCATAATTTTTGTGCTGAGGCCATCAGTGCTTTGGATTTTGAAACAGACCCCTGAGGGGAAGCCAGTGAGCCGTGCCACTACTCACGGTGTCTTTATTTTGGTTCTACTTTCTGCTGTTTCTTCTGCTCTTTTGGGGCAGCCAGCAGTTTTTGGGCCTTATCTTTTGGGGCTGGCCATCCCAGATGGAGCTTCTGGATTGGGGTTCTCCCTGGTGGAGAAAATGGAGTGCTTTGTTTCAGACTTCTTTATGCCATTGTTTGTCATAACATGTTCTCTACAGGCCGATGTTTCCAAGATGTTCCTTGTCTTTGCAGCTGCTGCTTTTGCAAGAATTAACATAATTATTACACTTGTCACTTATGGAGTCAAACTGGTGTGTTGCTTCCTTTGTTCTTTGTATTGCAAGTTGCCCTTGAGAGATTGCTTCGTCCTGTCCCTCATTCTTAGCTGCAAAGGTGTGGTTGAGTTGGGCTTCTACTTAGTCACCCATCAATACAAGGTCCGATTTGTTTCATTTTGGTCTCTTAACGTTTAAAAAGCAACCATTTTGGTTGGTTTATGACTTTCAAAATGTAAAATGCTTGTTTTAGTGATCAGATTAACCATCTTTTTCCTTGTTTCTTTGATCCCATTTGCAGATTATCAACCACGGGATTCTGGCATGGTTCATACTGTTCTTATTAACAATTGCAACCTTTGTGCCACTGACAGTGAAATGGCTCACAGACCCCAAAAGGACACACAGTAGCCATCAGAACAGAAACATCATGCATTTAAGCCCCAACTCAGAATTGCGGATCCTTCCCTGCATACACAAAAACGAACACATCTATGGCCTCATCCATCTCCTCAATCTCTCATGTCCAACGCCGCAAAACCCGCTCGCCGTTTACGCCCTTCACCTCATCGAGCTCGTCGGCCGCACCACCCCCATCTTCATTTCCCATAGACAGGAAAACAAGGCCATTGCCGACCAACCCTACTCAGAAAATGTCACTCTCTCCTTTGACCACTTTGAGAAGGACAACTCTGCAGGCTCTGTCTATGCTGAATGCTTCACAGTAATCACACCCCACAAGTTCATGACCAATGACATCTGCAAATTGGCGCTTGACAAGGTCACGTCTCTTATAATTCTGCCCTTYCACAGGACATGGACGGCGGATGGCCTTATAGACCAAGAGGACAACATGTTGAGGAATTTGAACTGCAGTGTGCTCCAGAAGGCGGATTGTTCAGTGGCAATTTTTGCTGACAAAGGGCATTTAGGGAGCRTTGCTTCTATGGCTTCTTCTGGCACACAATTTAGATATTCAGTTTGYTTGATATATTTGGGAGGGAGTGATGACAGGGAGGCAATTTCTTTTGCCAAACGCATGGCAAAGGAGCCCACAATTGAGCTCACTGTGCTGAAACTTGGGTCTCCTATGGAAGATGGGTCGAGTAGCAAATGGGAGAACATGCTTGATTCTGAGGTTCTAAAGGATTTCAAAATGAACTGTTTGGGGAATGGGGGAGTGAGGTATTTTGAGGAAGTGTGTGATGATGGGCCTCAAACAGCACTGACACTTAGAAAAATTGTGAATGAGTTTGATCTTATGATAGTAGGGAGAAGAGATGGGTTGGAATCTCCTCAGACTGCTGGGCTTAGTGAGTGGAATGAGTTTCCAGAGCTTGGAGTTCTTGGAGATTTGATTGCTTCACTTGATAACAACACAAGAACTTCTGTGTTGGTAATACAACAGCAGAAGTAATTAATTAATTAATTCACTAGACATATCAAGATGTGCATATACTTTAATTATGTATCTTTTTGAAGAGTATATGTAGAACAATACTCTTGTTTATCATCAACTTTAATTTTTTGCAGTTTGTTTGTCTCTGATAAATGAAAATGAAGGGAATTTTCAGCTTCTTAGATTGGTGCATTTATTCATTCATTTCTTGTAAGCAAAGACTAATAATTATTTAGTCAAATTAATATGTGTTGAGTTGGTAAAGAAACAAAGTCCCACGTTGACTAGGGAAGAACATGATCCATGGTAGATGAGGACAATTATCTTCATTGATATGATACTTTTTGGGTGAAATTAAAAGTAAAGCCGTGAGAGTTATGTCCAAAGCGAACAATGTGATACCATGGTGAAGATACTTGGGGTAAAAGGGGGACCGTTGTCCTTAACAAACACCAATATTTTGACACTATCTAAACTACTTGCAACAGTTTAATCAACACAAACAGAGAATACGAAATATGAAAGAAAAGCGAACGTCAGAGTTTATACTAGTTCACCTCAAGTTCGGGATTTCATCTAGTCTTCTGCAATATGCAGGTTCTAATAACAAATCTATCTTAAAGATAGTAACATATCCTCCAATATCAATTCAAGAAGAAGTGTGACAATCGTGCATAGGGGTGTATGAATAAACGGACACTGTGCTATAGCAATGAGAGAGGTAATCCTAAGACTATTGCAAGTATATAGTCATGAACCAACATGAGTTTAGATTAATTGGTTAAAGCATATATCTCAACTTAAACATCGTAGGTTCGAATCCTCACCCTACAACTCGACAAGTTGGTAAGAACGGTTCATAAATTTGTTAGACGCCCTGTTTAAAATTTAAAACTTAATAATAAATTGATATAATTATCTCAAAAGGTTTATGGGTGTTAAATAATATTTCTCAAGTATGGGAAAGAAGCCTCTAGAAACTACTAGGTTAAGTGGTTTGCCAAATCTTGCTCAAATAGCCTCTTTAGAGATAGAAATCTCTAGAAGCCACTAGGATAAGTAAGCTTGTTCAAAGAGTTTTATTGGAGAATTGAAGAAACTAGAAGCTATTAGAGTGCAATATGTGGCCACTAGATTATCACCTATCCAAGGTTAGTATGTGGCATAATTATAGATAGAATTTTGCTTAATGAGCAAGTATGAATGGGCTATAAATAGGAGCGGACCCATACTTGGCAAACTATCCCAAAAATTCTCAAATTCCAAGTGAGCTAAAGTGTGAGTGTGAGGATTGGTGAGATAAAGATAGAGAGAGTTTCTTCTTATGAGAGATTTTGTTCTCCATAAGAAAGAATTTAACTCTTACTTTATTGAGTGGAATTCTTCTCCCTTATTCGTGGTTTTTACTCTAATTCATTTAGGAGTTTTCCACGTAAAATCACTGAATCATTTTCTTCTGCTTCCCCTTTACCTCTTCTCAATCCATTTTAACTGCGTCTTACTCTATTCGATTCCAATCATTTTGGCAACCATGGGTACAATTCAATGACCCTAATTGGTGGCTCAAGGGTTCTTTGCCCCTCTTGTAAGAATTTTTATATTGGTGCGTTAAATTACAAAGTTAATTTTGTTCGGTCTAACAGATGCACGTACCTTAACGTTTCAAATAGGTTCTTAAAACTCTCAAGATTGTATCAATCCAATCCCTATCCTTTTTAAAAAATGTTTTCCAAACTTTCAATTTTGTGTCTAAATAATAGATCTCTTCGTTAGTTTAATTACTAACGTTATTATTTAAGAATTAAGTGTATGATTTCCAGAACCTAACGTATAATTTACTGTATAATCTAATATTTTTTCAAAGTATAAGGATGAGAGATTCAATTTAGAGAATTCAAGAATTAAACTTATAATTAAACTTATAAATTATAGGATTGTTAGCAGATTTTGGGTACACCTTGTATTATTCCTGTCCACAGCCAAAATGGACGCGTCAATGACAATAAGAGCTGGAAAGAAAAGCACTGACGATCGAAATTCCAGCGTTTTCAGTCCCTCTAATCACTGCAACTTTGGTTCAAAGGCTTTTAGATGATGGCATACACCAGAAACAGGCTTAACCCTACTACCCATCTTGATTTCGTATGACTTTGTTTCCCGCGGTGGGCTGTTTTGGGGCTTTCCACGGCCTTGGTTCAATGACTTGCTTCTTAAGGATAAATAAACTATCATTCAACCCAAAAGTTTAAACTAATGGGTTAGCTCTACAAGTGGAAATCATTATAAATGAGGAAAAAATAACAACTTAGAAGTTCGAACTCTGATACCATGTTAAAGATGAATAAACTCAACCCAAAAGTTTAACTAATGGATTAGGTAAATTTATTTCATATATATGAATTCTCAACATTGCTCGACCTCCTCGTGAGGGTCTCAACAAACCCAGAAGGGATGCCAGTGAAGGGTAGCTACATTCAAGCTATCGTTTTTTTTTTTTTTTTACTCTTCTTACCACTGTGTTGTCCAATTTTATTGGCTAGGTCTCCTTGATGGGGCCTTATATCTTGGGTTTGGTTGTTTCTGACGAGTCTGGGTAACGTTTCTATTTCTTCATTTTTAATAAAGAAAAATTAATTACATTGCTCCAACAACCATGAATTCAAGTACGATATAAAACAATAATTCTATTTATATTTTGGAACAAATTAAAAATGAGAACAAAGAAAGAAAAAACTTGTTTTTATTGTTTTTAAAATTTCTATACAATTTTGAGAATGTTCCCAAAAAGGAAAGAACAAGAAACATAATTAGTTGAAAAATGCTTAGATTTTTTAAGAAAATTAGAAACAAGAAAGGTGAACGTTATCAAACGAGAGCCTAAATTTATTGTGGAATTGATTATCTACACTATACATGGCCAGAGATTACAATTGATTTCATCTCTCTCCTCCATCTTCCATCTTCATTATATATTGGGTTGAGAAAATAGGAGTTTCTAATTTGTTTGATTTAGGGTTCAATATATGTTTTGAGTTTGTTAGTAATGTTTGAAGGGTTTTTTGGATTTAGTTTCCCTCTATATTTTGTAATTAGCTTTTGATTTAGTTTCTTAGGCATGTCTTAACAATTTTTGGGAGTTAAAGCCAAACCGAGCATAGCTCAATTGATTAAAGCATCTATCTCTAACCAAAAGATTATGAGTTCGAATCTCTACCCTTACATGTTATACTATTAAAAAATTTGGGAGTTGAAATTTTGGTTACTATTTGGTGCTCTAATTCTTCTTTTAGATAACTCGAGTTTATCACTTATATTTAACATTTATTAATGAAAATTATATAATTAGAAAAAAAATGTTACAACTAATTTTTTTTAAACTATTTGAAACGATCGAAACATATATCTAGTATTTTGGTTTTAACGGTTCTTTTTTTGTTTTGTTTTTCTAACTTGGATTCAACAACTACAGATATCAACGATGGGCTTCTTGCATGCTTCGTTCTTGCCAATTTTTTTTGTTACAACATTGGTGCCAATTGCACTGAAGTGTATCTATGATCCTTCGAGGAAATATGCTGCATCATGCATTTGAATCCCTCCAACGACGAGCTTCGACTGCATTCACCGGAATGAAAATATCAACGGCATCATTCATCTTCTCAATCTCTCATGTCCCAAGGCGGAAAACACGCTCGCCATTCATGTATTCCATCTCATTGAGCTAGCTCTCCCGTCGATCGGACCGCCCCAATCTTCATCTCTCACAAATATTTTCACAAGGCCCTCAATGATCGATCATACTCTAAACATATTTATTCGTTCTTTTGATCGGTCTGAGAGAGACAACGATGATGGAACAGTTTACGTCGAATGCTTCACCGCATGCAATCTCGTCAAACCGGTTAATGCACGACGATGTATGCATGCTCTTGCTCAACAAGATCACATCCCTCATTTTCCATCGAACCTGGACAGTGGATGGTTTTGTCTACCACGACGACAACATGATCAGGACATTGAACTGCAGCGTGCTCGGAAGGGCTCCATGCTCGATTGGCATCTTCACCAACCAAGGACGTTTAGGGAGCATTTCCACAACAGCAACACCGAGAATGAAATGTAAATACTCGGTCACTCGTAGAGATTGATAAATGATTTCATTTATTCTAGGGTTGGTACATGAGAGATGAGATAATTATGAGAATTTTGCACCGAATTAGTATGACAAAGAACTAACCATTGCACCTAGGGATGGTACAGAAAGATGAAGGATCAGTTGCTGAACTTGAGTTTTGCGAAGAGTTTGAGTGAATCCATTCTCAATGTGAACGTATAAAATCAGGAGGGTCGGAATATTTACCTTGAAATAGACTCTATTGGAAGCGAAGAAGCTGTTGAACAAGGAAGAGGCCAACATCTCAGAAATTTTCTGGGTCGCGGACCAAATTCGATCAGTACTTTTGAAGAAAAATCAGTGGTCTAATAATCAATTTTATCAATTTAGAAAGTGTGACAATCGTATACGAGGGCTCATGAATGAACTGCCAATATATAGTCTAAATACTCAAAAGAAATTATAGTTTAACTATTATCTATACCAACAAAATTCTGCTTTCTTTTTAGTCTATTAATAAAAACTCCAATATAGAAGGATAGAAACTTTATATCTTTTGAAGTTCATAAATATATTAGATGTCATCATCGAAAATTAACATTACAGTAGTTGTTCTTTTATTACGGAATTATATATAGATGAAGATTCAAACCCGCCATCTTTTGATTCAAAACGAAGTTTTTTTTAGTACATACTCCGGATATATACAGTTAAGCTGACAAAGAGATACTCAAGGACGACCATTACAAGACAAAGTGATGCACAAACTCCGTAGATTTCGATGAAATATAGGAAAAAACTAACTCCCAACCAATGGAACAAACACAACCCTATTAATGGTTAGAGTTGCATTTCTTCCTCAAATCTCCTAAATATAATCAGCCGAATAATCATAAACTCAACAAAATCTAATGTAAATTTATAGTCAAAATCGTTTCTAGACTTTAAATAAACTATCATGTAATGATGAAAACAGCTACTTATTTTTTTGTTTTTCCTCTCGGTTTGTTGAAGACAACTTATATCTAACCGACCCATATAAAAAAGGAGGTGAATTTTGAAACGAAAACCAACAATTTTTGTGTGGAAATCATCAAATTTCTTCTTCTTCCTTGTGGGCAGTTGAGAATTTTTTGTGTGGAGAAGGGAGAAGATGCAATCGAATTATTCAAGTTCGAAGGAGGAGTCCCATTTATCATATTATTCAGAATCAAATTCCACGAGTGTGATTTGCCTAGATGTTCCATCTCATATAATCTCAAAAGGTTTATGGGTCCAATTCAATGACCCTAATTGGTGGCTCAAGGGTTCGTTGCCCCTCTTGGAGTTTCAATTGACTGTTTTGTGCTTCTCATTGGTTATTACCCATCTTATTCTCAAGCATTTTGGGGTCTCCAAAGTTTCCTCTCAAATTCTTGTAAGTACACACAAATCCTCCTACACCCTCTTCTCAATCATTTGTAACATTTGGTTGTTAGTAAACTCGTAAGAATTTTCATGTCAGTGTTAAATTACAAAGTTTGGATCTTTTTGTTAGTTTAATTCATGCTCTCATGGCGGGCTAACGTGTAAAAAATGTTGATTTCAAATAAGTTCGATCTCCCATATCACAAAATTGTTCGGCCAACCCGCATGATTCCTCTAGCTAGTTTCAAATAACAATATAATCGCTTTCTTTTTCTTGCATTAGGGGAAAAGGGTTTCCTCCTATTCCTAACTTTTACACAAAATGGCTATATCTGATCAACAACTTCTAACTGATCATGTGACTGAAAAATGAATCAGATTGGGCTGATATTTGGGTGCTCGTGGAGGCAGTTCGACAAGGAGACAATCAATCTTTTCTACGAACGCAACCAAGACATTCTAGGATTGTTGGCAGAATTCGGGTACACCTTGTACTTGTTCCTGTCCGGAGTCAAAATAGACCTGTCAATGACAATCAGAGCCGGAAAAAATGCACTCATCATCGGAATTCTAGCCTTATTAGTCCCTCTGTTCGCTGCAAATTTTGTTCGAAGCCTTTTAGTTGATGGCAGTGGCATATCTGAAGCAGACTTATCCACACTCCCCATCTTGATTTCCTTCCACAGTATGTCTTCATTTCCCGTAATCGCCTCTCTCTTGAGCGACCTTGAGATTGTGAACTCGGAATTGGGGCATTTGGGGCTCTCCTCCGCCTTGTTCAGCGACTTGCTCAGCCTCTTCATGATGGTCACTGCCAGACAGGCCAAACGATTCAAAGATGTGCCTTCAATAGCTTCTCTCCAACTCGGGGCTCTAATTTTGCTCTTCCTTCTGATTCTATTTGTGTTCAGGCCAGCCATGCTTTGGATCATCAGACAAACCCCGGAAGGGATGCCGGTGAAGGGTAGCTACATTCAAGCTGTCATTTTTTTGGTTCTCTTCACCACTGTGTTGTTCAATTTCACTGGCCAGATTTCCATAATGGGGCCTTATGTCTTTGGTTTGGCTGTTCCTGATGGGGCCCCTTTGGCCTCCACTCTTGTGAACAATATTGAGTGCCTTGTTTCGGATGTGTTTATGCCCATTTTGGTGATTACCTGTGCTTTGAAAGCGGATCTGTCGCAGATTTCTTCCTCGTTTGATGCTGCTTTCACAAAGTTGAACATAGTTCTCATTCTTGTCACTTTTGTCGTCAAGATTGTGTCTTGCTTTCTGACTTCCAGGCATTGTAGGCTGCCCTTCAGGGATTCCTTGGCACTTTCTCTCATCATGAGCAATAAAGGTGCTGTGGAATTGGTTCTCTACACGATGGCCAGAGATTACAATGTATGTATCCTTGATTTCATCTCTCTCCTCCACCTTCACATATTGGGTAGAGAAAGAATGGTTCTCGAATTTGTTCCTGTCATGTCATATAAGTCAATCACCCATATTTTAACATTTACTTCACTAATGGAAATGATATAACTAGAAAAAATGTTACAACTAGGTTCTTTTAAAAGATAGGACTGAATTGAAAACACATTAGAGATTGAAAGTATATTTAGTGGTTTGGTTTTAATGGGTTGTGTGTTTTTCTTTTCTTTTTCTAATGTGGATTGGAACAACTACAGGCTATCAATGATGGGCTTCTTGGATGGTGCTTCCTTTCCATAGTTTTTGTTGCAACATTGGTGCCAATTTTGGTGAAGTGTCTCTATGATCCTTCGATGAAATATGCTGGCTATCAGAATAGGAACATCATGCATTTGAATCCTGCCTCCGACAAGCTTCGCCTGCTTGCCTGCATTCACCAAAATGAAAATATCAACAGCATTATTCATCTTCTCAATCTCTCATGTCCCACGGCAGAAAACCCGCTTGCTATTCATATATTACATCTCATC